GTGCTGCTGCGTTTTCTGTCGGTGATGCCTACGGAGATGGAAGAGGAAGTGACAGCAGGGATACTGGGAACACCAACGAGCTGATTCTGGGCATGAAACAGGGATTTGGGAATGCCAGGAGATGCCTATTGTGATGCCTGCTGTGAGCACGTGGCTCTCCTAAATCCTTCATGCTGTTTTCCAGTGAGGATGTCCCACGAGCAGGGCTCAGCCCCCATCCCAACCCAGCTACCTCTTATCCTGATCCGGAGAAGAGTCGGAGGAGGACGGGACAGTGTCCTTCTTGTGGTGTTTGTCCTTGCCTTTCTTCTTCTCCTTCTTATGTTTCTTCTTTTTCTTCTTCTTTTTTTCCTTTTTGGATTTTTTGCTGCTCTCTGGTCTGCAGGGAAGAGATCAAGCAATGAGGAACCTCCGAAAACTCATCCTCATCCTTCAGGGCACATCCACCATGTCTCTCCTTGGCCAAGGAGAAATCCCCAGGAAAAAAAACCCAAAGAGGTTCGGGGGTAAAGCAGAGTTTTGGGGGTGATTCAGGCAATGTCACATGAAGCCATGGAAGCATTTTGGAAAACATTCCCTACAAAAACCAAGCTACTTCTGGTGGCTTTCCACCAAAGTGGGAAAAATCCTCACCGTTTCTCCTCCACCTTCTCCTCCTTCTCCTGATTCTTCTTGGAGCCAGATGTCTCAGGGCTGCTGGAGACCTTCTGGTGCTAGGGTTGGAGAGAGGGAAAATATGGAGCTAGGAGCTTTGAACTACAAGATAAAGGGATTTTTCTCCATTTAAAAATTAACTTTGAAAATAAAATAATTGAAGAAAATTAAATTAAATTAGGAAAAAAAATACCCACAAGAGCTGCTTCCAAATTCAAACCCTTAAATTAACCTCATGTCAACAAGACATGGGGAGCTTCTCCAGGTCTGTGCTACAACAACAGTCAGGTTGGTTTTGAAATATTCCAAGTGTGGAGCATGGCTTTTTTTGCCTTTTTTCATGCTTTTTTGCCCCTCCCAAAAACTATGTGGCCAATGCCATACCGTGAAGACAGAGAGCCCCATCTTGGCTGCCTCCTTGTCCTCCTTGGACAGCATCACCCGTCCAGCACTGCCACTGTGAAGAGACCGCACCAAAAAAAAAAAGCACCAAAATGGTAAAATGAAAAATCAAATTGTCCTGAAATGACAGGAGTTTTGGAGAGGGAATTCCCTCCATTCCATACCTGGAGCTGCCCAAACCCACTACTCTGTCCACATCCTTCTCATCCCGCTCGGTGCCGTCCCTCTTGCACACCTCAGCCAAGTCCTGTGGGGAGAGGGAAAGTGTCCTGTGGGGGTGTGTGTGTCCCAAAATCAGAGCCAAGGGGAGGGGACACCCACATGGGGACACTGAGGGGACACATGGTGCCATTTTACCTCCTTGCTGAGGCCTGTGGGCTGCCTCTTCACGTTCTTGTAGCCCCTGTGGAAGCCGAAGTGGGTGATGCAGGGTGGGGGGTGGCTCTGCACCCCCTGATTTTTGGGGTGAGGGGTGGGGTGTGGACTCACAGTGCTGCCATCATGGCCTCCTGCTCAGCCAGGCGGACAGCAGCCAGCTCTTCCTCACGGGATAACGGAGGAGCTGTGTCCTTCTTCCCCTTGGCATACCAGGTCAGGTCCTTCCCCTTCTGCCACCTGCCAACCGGTGCCATCAGGGAGTTCCCTGTGGGGTCAACACCCCCCCAAAAGTCACCAACCTCCTTCTCCACCCCAAAACTGTGTCAGGGGGAACATAGGAAGGATGAGACAAGGGAATTTTGTCCGGGATCAGCCCTTACCCAGGTAGTTCTCACGTTGTTTGTCAGTCTTGACATCCTCCCAGCTGAACTGGTCCTGACCCCCCCGGACACCTCCCCGGGATGAGCCAAACATGGTGCTGAACCCCACAGCAGATCGGGGGGGTCTGGTGACCTGCAAAGGGGTCAGCCCTGGGTTTGCCCCCACCCCAGCTCCTCTGTGCAACACTGGGGGGGTCACCTGGAGGCAGGGGAAGCAAATGTGCTCCTCCAGAGTCAGTGGGATAACCAAAGTTCTGCATGGCTTGGGTGGGGGGTCATGGTCTGGGAGGGTGTTGCAGGACTGAGAGGGGGAGGTCCATGGCTCGGATGGGGGTTCAGAGGTGGAAGGGGGGAGGTCACAGCCTGGGGTGGAG